AATAATCCTGTAAATTTACAGTAACATACTGGCAGCTATAGACACCAGAAGTTTACTGTAAATACACAGTAGCTGTACCGTAATTAATCCTGACAGTAAATTACCGTCAATGCAAGTACGATATGGAAACTGTGAAATAACGGTAAACTTCTGGCGTCTGTAGCTGCCAGTAGTTTACCGTTTTTCTGAAAGAACGATAAAAAAAATACTGGTAGCTACAGACGCCAGTTCTTTTACCGTTCTTTCCAAAATACTGTAGAAAAAAAATAAGCTGGTGTCTGTAGCTGTCACATATACCTTTTTAATCCTGTACCTTTTAAAGTGGTGTAGTACTGTAAGTAAATACTGTAATGACGCCAACACACCGCAGATGTAGTACCGTCAACAGGGTTTATTAGAAATAAGAGCGAGCTGCTATTCCTTAGGCTGCAGCTGCGCCTCTAACAAACCGTTACACTCAACTGAATAGCTTCACTGCTAACACAATGAACTCTCCGCTCTTCCGGTGTTCTGTCAGATCAGCATCGGTCCTGGTCCTCCCGCTCCCCTGATTCCCCGCCCACATGACAGGTCCATTACATGTGAGGGGAGTCAGCAGAGTCAGACAGGGGAACCCCATAACACTCTACACATAACAGTGATCACCACTAGCGGAACAAGTCAGCGTCGGGCCGGGGGGAGGGGCCAATTACCGGGCCCCTAACCAATCAACGGGCCCCTAAGGAATCACCGGGCCCCTTACGTGGAGAGAAACTGAAATTTTGAGCGGGAGTAGGGGGGGTATTTAACATTAAATACACCCTTCTCAACAGGCGTGGGCGCACTTTCTACGTCTCTAATCACATATTTCAATGACTTGAAACCATTCCTCCCTCCCTGGCACCTCCAGGCCTGGGCCCCCATCCGGCCCGGTTTGGGGGGCAGCAGCAGCCCCCCAAACCGGCCCCCCCAACCCCAGCCCCCCTGGGATGAATAGCTTCACTGCTAACACACTGAACTCTCTGCTCTTCCGGTGTTCTGTCAGAACACCGGGGCCAGGGGGGGCTGGGGGGGCTCCGCACCTGGTGATCACAATGCAACTTATAACAAATACACATAACCATATGGAGCCCAGCAGAACTAAAATACAGAATTGTTAAAATACTACGGTGGTCGACAGGTGCAAATGCGCAGCAAACACGAGAAAAACAAATAGAACAAAGAAAAGACGCAAACAAAAAAAGAGATGCAAAAAATATATATAAAAATAAGTGTTCCACACCACTAGAGCTTTGTGTCCGAGTTCAGGGTCAAGCTTATTCTTTCATGGGTTTAAGAAACGACCCGGTCTACGGAAGAGGGGTCCTGCGAAGGCAGAGAGCATTACAGAGAGAAGCTGTAGCCTTCAGCTAGCTACCTAGCCTCCACCTCGGCAAAATGTTGCTTAGCAAATGTGACAACATGATTTAAACAATGTTTGTAGGTGAGAATGTAGATGTATAAATCTCACATTTCTGCTCGGTTCA